AGGTTTAGATTAACAACTAGCACCAATACAACAAGGCAAAGATGCGCCAACAAACAAGATAAAAGAAAATTTTTCATTTTAATAGCAAAAGAAGACACAGACAAGGAGAGTTAAGCATCCTCCCAAAAATGAAAAACAAAAAAAGAGAGAGGCTAGTAGTCCGAAGAAAACTTTTCATCCTAGGAGAAAGTTGTACTCCCTCTAATTACTCCAGTCACATAGCATAAAAGCAAAAAAACAATGCTCTTGATTAAGCAAGAACTGAATTAGAACCATACAGAAAGCAAATAGATCAAAGTAACAGAAGATGCTTCTCCCTTAAGGACAGGTCAGAATGCCTATTTAATAAGACGAATGATGAGTCCAGTTCTCTGTTATAAGATGAGAACCAGCCTAGATAGAGCATGCACTTATTCCCTAGATTCATCACTAAGAGGTCAGAAACCACCAAAACGATTATTAGACAGCTTCACATAACTGAAGCAACCAAAATTACAGCATACTTAGGTTTCCATGACTGAAACACAATCACCATCTAACTCAGTAGGAAATACAGGCATTTTTGGAAGAAAATTTCTTAGATATCATACTGATACAGAAATTGAAACTGCAAATAAATAGATGACCATAAATATGGCCAACCACTGGCAGCAAGGTTGGCCACATCACCCTCAACACCATTTAGAACAAGGCAGCAGAAAATGACTCCTAGAAAACCACACAAAAAAATTCACATTGCCTTAAAATTATGTAAGCAACCAACAAAATAGACTAGAATGGCATCCAAAATAATGAAGATATTATTTTTAAAACTCACAAAATTGATACTCTTTTGGTTTTCCAATCACATGTCACTCCTTTCCATTTACATGGGTCAGGATCTTCTGGTCTCCATTGATTAAGTACACCATCTGAATTAACAATTGCATTCCTGAAGTTTAGAAGCACCGCACCTGTAGGGAAAAAAAAAAGGAGGATATCAAGATGAAGAGTTTTATAAATAGAGAGAAATAGAAAGAAATGAGAGAAAAAAGAGAGGAAGAGAAAATCTTGAGTACCCAGTACTACTACCGGCCCACCCCCACCCCCCCACCAAAGTAGAAACATAGAAAGTACTTCTTTTATAAAAGAAGAAGCTTTATTAAGGAACAAATGAAAAAGAAGAAGTTACAAAAATGGAGAACAAGACATCCTCCTCAAGTATAGACAAAAGAAAGAAAGTAAAAAGAGCTGCACAAGAGATCTTTCCCTATTCCCTATGTATGATAGCATCCCAATTACGTGAAGCTCGAATAGGCTTATGTTTGGGAAATGTCTGTGTGCTTTTGCCCAAAGGGATGTCATGAAAGCAATTCTCTCACTTAGCTCATAGAAGGGCATTGATCCATTTTAGAAAATCGCCGGAGATTGGAAACATAGAAAGGTACTTAAAACTAGCAAAATGTTTAAAATTCTGATATTATTCCTTATTTTGAGTAGTACATAATCGAAAAGATTTGAAAAAAAAATACTGCAGATTATCTACGAAAAAGAGGAGGAGTCTAAAGTTTTCAAACCGAATTTAATATTTGATACATACAGACCAGTGCAACTAACTAATAAAAGCTAACCAAAAGAAACAAACATGTATTTCTACTACCTTTTATGGGTAAAAGCAGAGAAATTCTCCATGAAAATCAAAATTAGCAAACACTCAATACTGTTACAGTATAGAGAAAGATGGAAGTATAGCATCATACCATCAGGATTGATTGCTTGGCTTTTGCTTAATATGACAAAAAGCAGTAGACTGTAAAGAAGCCATGGCTGATGACATTTCATCACACAGATGCCCATATTGGCACCAATTGAGCAAATTATATCTACTAGAAATCATCTGAAGCAGCAGGCTGCAGGACACTCCTTTGAAACATATGGTTATCCAGTTGATATCATTTGTCTTCCATGAAATAAAGAGAAAAGGCCTGCTGAGAAGAAAAGAAAATTTTTAAAACAATTAAAAGGAAATTAAGTAATATTTTGATTGCAAGTTAGTTGAGAAAATTAATGTTTGCACACAATAAAGGACATGAAAGCAGATTGAGCAATAATGCATTTGTC